CCACACTTCACTTTTGAAGGCCACCACTTCACCGACAAGACTCCTGCCCACATTATCACCAGTGGCACTTGTTCATAGAGGGCTAGACCACGCGGGTGAGTGTTATGTAATCACAACTGTTTCCATATTGCCTTGAGAGACGTTGACCACCGATCTGGAAGACAGCCCATTAGCCGAAGCATTCAATGTTATTTCCCTTCAGGCATTAAACAATGAAACATTCTGATTTAAAGCTTTCGTGACTGCAGGGATTCATATTCTTGGTTCTTTCGGTAAAGTCACGTAGAAGGGAAACAATAAAATAATAATATAAAACAATACAATTCTCACGTTTCGACTGCAATACAAGCAATCATCATCAGGTGTGAAAACCACAGCAAGAACATTTGAAAAAAGTGGCGTTTTTTTAACGTTAGCACCACGGAGAGCGATTTGACAGTTGGTTCAGATGGATGAGTCCATCTATGTTCGGAGAAGAGGAGGGGGGAGACGAAAATTAAACATTCATCATTACTAGCAACACGCATTTTCCCATAAAAAGTGCCCACTAGCCAAGTTGTGGATTTTGAGACTTTGCCCAACCCCCGAAAGAGAAAATCTCCCGTACAGCTTTAACAAACCTTTGGGGCAAGTGCTGTTAGCGAGCACATGTGAAGGCCACACGAGGTGGTGGGCGGCCAGCATCACCACGGCCGACCGCCTTTGTCTCCCGAGCAGCGATGTTTAAACACCGCACCAGCTACTTATTTGAGACCGAGTCGACCTAGCGGAGGCCCAGCACCGGTTCAGATAATCGTCACCGGTGTTCACTGTGAGCAGGGAATCAAAAGCGTAGCGCAGCGCGCTAACCGCTATACTACCGCCCCCCTGGAACCTCACACACAAATCCCAGCCCTTATGAAAGTGATGTTATGTTAAAAAATAAATGTGGGTCAAGGGGATTAAAATCTTCATTATGATGCAACTATAAAACCGTGAAAATGGATTGTAAACTGTTGTGATGAAGCTAACAAAGGTTATCTCAAAAGTAGTCGGGTTATAGGCCCACAGTGATGACACCACCTTTACTCCCCCCATTTGAGGTCGAAACAGGAGGATTTCTTCACATTTCTAGCTATCGCCTGATGAAGCTGGTTGTAATCACCAGCAAAACGTCGTGCTCGAATCGTAAATGTTGTGGGTTTATCCTCCAACAACACACCGGTGCGCTGAAGTAGTAACTAATTGGCACGTTTTGTTTACGTGACAAACCCTACTAATTTGCCATGTCGGGTGGTGGCGGGTATAACGACACATTTATATTTACGTGATCGAACCCAAAAAGAACACTTTATTATGGATATTGGTCGCGAAAGCCTTCTGTGTTAAACTCTTGGGTTACCGGAATGCTCCTCAATTGTGCAAGTGAAGCTATTCAACGCGTTGCCCCCCACCGCACGTGGACAGCCGTTGTTTGCCGTAGTGTCAGCATTTTTGACTGCTGGGTGAAAATAATGTGCACTTGAAAGGCCAGAGATGAGGATGCTGAGATGGATGTTGGGAATACCTTAGAGGGGGTTTTACTCAAATTCCCAAGAAAACTACACTTTTTATTTTACCAGGTAAGGCCCACTTGGGCTATCACAGAAGCGACCTGGCTATCACAAATGATAGCTCAACGAAGTGGCTCGGCATCACGTGGAAATTTATAACAGCCAAATACTCTAAACGCACGTTGATTCTAAATGTGGAGCAAAAAAACCGGAGGACCCGCAGAAAAATCCACGCGACCACGAGGAGAGAGCCACGGAAAACTCAAAATAAACAGCAGGCGTCAGGGTCGGGATCGAACCCACGACCTCCTGCACACCAGGCGAGGGAGATGACATTTCGCCACCGTGGAGCTCAGTCTCGCCTGCCTTCGAAGCCTGAGAGGGGACATGTTGCCAAGAGACAAAGGTGCAGTGAGAAGGGCGACGGAGAAGCCATCGGTGCAGGCCTGAACGAAGTCGAGCGAGACCAAAGGTGAGATGTTAACACCCTCTCCTGATGTACTGGAGTTTGTGAGTTCGATCCCGACCTTGATGCCTGCAAATTTGGAGGTTGCATGTCTCTCTCCTAGTGGTCACGTGGATTTTTCTCCGGCTCCTCTGTTCTTTTCCCTCCACATTTAGAACCAACACGCGTTTAGAGCATTTGGCTGCTAGAAATTTCCACGCGATGATACGCCGCTTCGTTGAGCTATCATTTGTGGCCAGGTCGCTTCTGACAAAAAAAAGAGCTGTGGGCGTTACCTGGTAAAATAAAAATAATAATTTAGTTTTGTAGTGTTAGTTGATGCCATGAAACGAGACACAAGGACGGTGGATGTGACAAAATAGTACTTGGTTGTATAACGAATATTCAATTATGCAATAACTTAAAACTTTCTTTCGTGCTCAGTGCTGTCGACGCGTGTATTGAGTTTTATTGTTCGTGCACCGCCGCTAACAACAGCGGCAGCATCAGCAGCAGCATGCGAGCAGCATCACCACGCACTAATCCACGCCATAATGAGGCTTTCAGCGCAAGAAGAGGAAGAAGAAAAATAAGATGAAAACGTTAATGGATTTTTTTTTCACCCCTCCTCCCAACCAGACAGCTTAGTGCCACAAGGGAAGTTATTCTCCGAGTGGCTGCATAAGTAGCAGCCTCCATAGCAGGTGGTAAGCGCTAATGCGTTTAATACGAGCAAATTGATGCAACAGGCATCGCCGGTAATTTCAGAAATGAATGAAATTGAATTAATATAAGGCGGGGGGGGGGGGGGGTCACACTCACTTGACACGAAAGTTCACCTCGTTACGTATGTTAACTATAATATGATGTGTATTCTTTATTTTTTAAAACTTTTTTTTATACAAAGACATTGAAAAGGACAGTCTTGAGCTGTCTATAAGCGAGTTGAACATCAATATACTGTACACTGTAGCTAAGAGGACTCGTCAACAGTCGGTACAAAGGTGTTTTACAGAGTAGCTTCATAGTGACCGCACAAAATATATAATTTTTTTTCCTTTTTTTGTTGTTTTCGTTGTGTTTTTAGTAACAATACGGCAGAAACGAAAGGAAAAAAACAACCCCCACAAAAAACAGCAAATATTTCAAGTTGCTATACACAGGCAGATATTGTTTTTTTGTGTTTTTGTACAGACGTATACCTCTGCTCTGTAGGATTTTTTTTCTTTAGAAAGCAAAAAAAACCATCACAAAAGGAAACGAGATTTCATGGCTTATTTAGGATAAACCTTCAAAATACAGTATAACGTAAAATTACTGTGCCAACAAATACAAATTAAAACACTTTTGAAACACTTTGGCTTCAGTAAAATCATTAAAAGCAGACTACACACAATAATTTTACTTTAGAATACAACTTTTTTTTGTCTCCCATTGATATTTACGAAAATAGATGCACTTTATCTTTCACTGAGGTTTTTTTTAAATTTCCATTAAAAACATTTCAAAGAGGTTAACCAAATTCTGAACCTTAATACAACACAATATATAATAATATATATTAGCTATATTAACTAATACATCAGTCCAATCCAATGCAAGCTCCTATCTTACAAACATCCCATGCAGATTCTACAGAAGAAAAGGGAGGGGGGGGGGGAAACCCATTCATTAAATAAATTAAATCTGTTTTTTTGCGTCGTTTTTTTTGTTAAATCAAACAAGCAAAGTATAAGCAACTAAAAGAGAAAGGGGATTTAAAGTAAATGATATCAGTACACGAGATGACAAAGCCGCTCGTACAGTTGATAACACGTTAAAACAAAACAAAAAACACCACGTTTTTCACCGCATTGTCGCGAATAAACTCCGCGGGATTTCAGATGAGAGTGTCGCACTGCCGCCCCACCACGTGATGTCACGACGCTCGCCGTCTCGCGAAGTAATGCAGGCAAAATTGGTGGACAAGAAACCGAAATAGAGAAACCAAAAGTGAACTTTCTCTGCATGAACTGCTGCCAAAACTGTAAATCTACATGCGTGGAACAACTTCTACACATCCAACTGCATTTTTCGCCAATATATTGTAACTTATAATATGCACGTTTGATTATATAAGCTGTGACGTTACCGTACGTATGTATGTATATGGGGCAAAACGAGCCCAGAAGAAAAAACGTGACAAAAGCTGTAAATTTGATCAATTCAGAGCACAGCACAAGCACTTGAAAAATAACCATTTTGTCCAGATTTTTCCAACAACGGAAACCACCCCCCCACCAATTTTTTTTTTATATTATAAGTGTGAACTCATTGCAGTCTGGTGGGGCGAAACGAGGAGGAGAAAGAGAACAACATGAACCCAAACGTGGGAAATACGAGAGCAAGTCGGAGAAGGGGAAAAAACACCCCTAGATGGACGCAAGAGATTGGGATAAGGGATGTTTGATTAGACGTTAAACAAGAAGAAATAAAGCATCCTAATAGCAGCAGCATGGCTAACCCTGGCCACGCTTGTATTCATGCCAACCCAACATCTCCCACGCGCAAGAACGCCCCCACGTCCACCCTCCCCATCCCCTCTTGGCGGCCCCCCCCCCACCACCAACCTCCCCCCCCCCCCCCACCTTCCACTGAATGTGCACGGGACCAGCGTAGGTCAGAGCAGTCACACAGAGGTCAGGCTCCCAGAAAGCAACAAGCAGCTCACACAACTCACACGGGAAACCATCCTCGGGTTCCAGAGAGATCGACGACGATGGAAAGTGGAGTGGAGGAGGAGACAGGAGGGAGGGAGAGAGAGAGCGGAGAAAGACGAGAAAGCGGAGAGAGAGAGCGGAGGGGGAGAGTAGAGAGAGTGGAAAGAGAGCGGAGGGAGAGCGAATGGTGTGGACGTTTCACGATGCTGCTGTTGCCCTATCTGCTCTCGGCACAGGGTCGTTGCGCAAGTCTATGGCTCTGGCACGAGAAGCTACCCTGGCCCCGAGCAACTGCTAAATGTAAATGGACACTTTGGCAGACGCTATAAACAACCGATACAATAATAAGTTCTTTTTAAAAAAAATCAAAATAAAACCCAGTTTATTTTAGGAAATACATTAGCTAAAACTGTACAACGGCGTATTTGTAGTGCATTGTTAATTATGTTGTATTATTTATTTCACGTATATATATTTCTTAAACTCGTAAAAACTGACGCATTGTTCGTTGCGGTGCGAGTGAATCCGATCTGCGCCGGGGGAGTCGAGCGGTGTCGTCTCGCGGAGCGTTGAGGGCCCCCCCCCCCCACGCCAGCGCCGGCTATGGCTGAGAGCTTACGGAGCGTTAAGTGCTGCGGGCACCGGACGAAAGCGAAACGAACAACAACAACAACCCCGACTCTGCAAGTACAGCAGGACCCTGCCAAATTTGAACATCCATTAATGCACAGACCCACACAGTCAAAACAACAACCGCACCTTTACTTCCGGCACGATTAACGGATGACTGTAAACGGGGGGGGGGGGGGGGGGAGTATAATTAAGAAATCATTGTGGTTATTTTGTACTGAAACGAATCTATTGCGTGTACCAGTGAGCAGCAGGTGTTACTGCAGCCGCTTCGCTTAACAGCTGCAATGGACAACAATCGCGTCGGACTACATTATCGTAGACGATATCGTGGAAGATACCAGTATATTATCTATTTTATCGACGCCGCTCCGATTATTAGTATCTACAAGCAAGACGTCGCTACAGACAACAGCTCCGGCCGAGGCTGTCGCAGACAAAGGTATCATTTTTAAATTGTCACGATTACCCAGAAGCCTCCGTGGCACTGCACCAAACACCAACCCGCAGACAAAAAAAACAAAACAAAACGCTAAAACATGATTGAGATACAGGCGTCACCACCGTCATCATTATCATCATCATCAACAACAACAACAACATGATCGTCACCGTCATTGGGAGGACGATATCATTGGGAGGACGATAAGTTATATCGCGGGGTAAGGAGAGTGTGCAGACGCTGGGCACCTGTGCCGGAGGGGGCTATGGAAGGAGGGGAAACGGGGAGAACTGTGAGCACAGCGGGGCGAGGGGTGACCGCACGCCCAGAGTGGCAAAGAGAAGTGCAATCGGTACTGATTGACAATATCGCGAGGAGGCAGTTTCGAGAGAATCCTGCCACGGAAACTAAAATTCACTTGCGTTGGGATCGGGAGAGGCAGCCGAATAACGTTTCAACAGCCGGAGCCGCTTTACTTTCTGAAACTTGCCAAGCGTTTCGTTCTACGTGTTCCTGTCGCGCAGTCCAGCCCAGATATGACGTGCAAATGTTTTGCGTGTAAAAAAAAAGGTGTTCTTTTAAATAAAAAATAAAAAAAGCCACAATGGCAATTCGTTTATAAACATCGGTCAAAAGAGAGACACGATTAAGAGTCGACGAGGTTAACTGTAATTTAAGATCGTGTTTCGCGGGTGTGCGCTCAAAAAAAAAACTTCGGAAAAAAAAAAAGCACCGAGCTGAAGAAATTAAATGTTCATGTCATAAACGAAAATTAAAAGTACAAGCGTTAGCACTAAAGTGTTCCATCAACAACAAAAAACTGGAGACCACGGAACACCGCTAAATACTGGTGGATTTGTACTGCGTAATTTTCATCTCAACAAACCCTGGGGGGTAGAGAGAGGTGCAGGAAAAAGAGAGAGGAAAAAAACAACGTTGAAATGGCGAGTTTTGAAAACGAAAGAAAAAAAATGTACGACGAATTTAGTAAAGTGTATTCTCTCCTTAACCTCATATATATGTGTGTGTGTGTACGTATATATAATTATTTAGTTTCGTTTCATGGGACTATCGGCGCGCGTCGCCCGCGCGTCGCAGCTCCTTATCGCGGCGGCCAGCCGTCTATGCGCAGGCGCTTGGCCGCCTGAGCGTCTCCGGGGTCCGGCGATGAGCGCAGCATGCCGACGCCGTGGTGCCCCGCGTGGTGCCCAGCGTGGTGCGAGCCCATGAACTCTCCGCCCCCTCCGCCGCCCCCGCCCCCGCCGCCGCCGACGTTGCGAAGATCCTCGCGATCGCTGCCCCCGTCGTACGAGCTGCCCGAGCTGCTGAGGCTGTCGCCGGTGGCGCCGGGCCCCGGGGATCGCGACGTGGCGCCTGTGGGGTCGCCGGGACCCCCGCCGCTGCCTCCCTGCGCGCCGCCCGCCACCAGGAACATGGCCGATGAGACGACGCCGCCCTTGGGGGGCGACACGGGCTCCGACTTGACGCTCACGCTCATGTTGGTGTTCACCGTCAGCCCTCCGCTGCTCGGGTTCATCCTGCGGTGGCGGAGAGCGGTGGGGGTGGAAGACGCGTTAAGTTTCGGTGTCGTTGTTTTAGTCGGTGCATCGTCACGGATGATTATCATCGTCGCCACCGCGATCGCCGCATCGCGCGCTTTCAGATGTGCTTTTGCGGCTGTCTGGAATGCCCTTCCTTGCGATATTAGAAAGTCACTGGAGCTATGAACTTTTAAATCATCTGGATTGAAATCTCATTTCTTTATAACTGCAATTTGGTGTTTAGTTTGTTGTCCTTCCCCCACATCTCCGATTAGCACGGTTGGCTACGTATGGTGCGAAAGAAGTTCAACATACAGTACATATACATACAATGCCGTGTAATCATCACTGTAGTTGTCGTGATAATAATGATCGCCGTCTGTGTCGCGTCATCTTTAAAACGATCATCACTGGTGTGACCGTAGCGATCCGCGCATTCAATTCAACTGGAGTCGTGAACCTTGCGTGCGATCGATGCCAGAGTAATGAGGTTGACGAACATTATTCATTATATACACCCGCATTTTCGCTCAGAAAGAAAAAAAGTGTTGGTAACAAGCTTGAAATTCAGAATTCTTGTTGTGACAGTGGACCACACCCTTTGTCAGAGGAAAAAAACCCCACAAGATGACGTCGCAGAACTCCATCTGAATTCACTTCTATGGAACCATTTTTTAATCCATGCTTACAACTCATATTTAATACGATTGGTTTCCCTGGGCTGAGAACATGCGGCAGTAACTAATGTATGGACATGCACCTTGCCTTGTCAAAATTTCCAAGCTACTTTCCGAATAATTCCAAAGCACAAAATTCTTACCACACGCATCATTCCCCCCCCCCCCATTATTCTTTATTATTATTACTACTATTACTATCGCAAGAGCATTTGCATTATTACGATTATCAGTACGTTGTTGTTTAACCAAAAAGGAAAAACAAAACCCACGTGCCTCGGGGTCTCTTAAGCGCGACGTCAAATAAGCCCTCGAGAGTCTTACCGTTCCTGCAAATACCGAAAGTGATCGCACGGCCTCAAGAAAACATTGAACAGCGAGAAACCGCACAAACACGAGAAATTCCTGCACAGCGCAACGCGCATCAAAGCACGCACGCATGCACGCACGCACGGATACGGGGCAGGGAGGAGGCGCCTCACAGAAGCTGGTTGAGCATGCTCTGCGGGATGTTGTGCAGCTGCTGCTGCTGCCACGTGACGGAGCCCAGGTGGAGGGTGCCGGGCGAGTTGAGACCCGTCAGAGCGGTCAGCTCTGCGAGGGAGTAGTCTGCGGGGCACACACGGAAAGCACACATGCGTCAAGGCGCCGAACACGCACGCACACGCACACACACACGCACACGCGCGCACACACGTGCAGGTATGAGACAGACCGGAACAGAGATACAGGGACAACAAGATCAGGCACTGTTAGCGAGCACCAATGAAGTCCGCCACGGCACGCGAGAGGCTGGTGTGGCTTGGGCCATGCCCGGCCACATTTGTCTCCCCAATGCCAGGTACTCATTTGAGGCCGAGTCGACCTAGGGGAGGCCCAGGACCAGTGCAGATTATCGTCACCGGTGTTGGCCGTGGGCGGGTTTCGTAGAGCAGCGCGCTAAGTGCTACCCTACCGCTCCCTAACCAGACACGACGGTACACACAGACATGGGGATTTCAGGGCACACGTACACACAGACATGCACACGTACACACAGACATGCACACGTACACACAGACATGCACACGGACACAGAGGGACACAGAGGGACACCGGCACACACATAGATATATGACGCAGTGGTAGAGCACACATACATAGACATGTAAGGACACACAGGCACAAGGCATACGTACGCACGCATACATACACAGGGTTAAATGTAGTCATATAGGAGGTTGTTTTTACAAATTGTTACACGCTCTAAAAATGTCCAGATTGGGCTGTGACTCCAGGACACAATCGCCTGCTCTTACAAGTGATGCTGGTGTGCAAGTCTTTAAGATCTATGCTACGCAGGTGGCAGATTTTAATCATTGTCGAGTGTGCTATCCAATGAGCCACACCCACATACAGGCAAACATCACCTGTTTGGTGGTTTGGACCTTAGAGGCAAAGCGCCGTTTGTGAGCACCTATTAAGGCCGGTACTGCACACGGGAGGGTGGTGTGATTAGCACCACTCCTGGCTACCCTTTATCTCCCCAGTGCTGATGTTTACAAACTGCACCAGGCACTCATTTAAGGCCGAGTCGACCTAGGGGAGCCTCAGAACTGGTTCAGATATTCCTCAGTGACGTTGGCCGTGAGCGCGAATCAAACTCGGCTCGCCAGGTTCGTAGCGTAGCACACAAAGTGCTGTGCCACCACTCCCCAAACCACAAACAACACGCGCACAATCACACGAGCGCACACACACACACACACGCATTGGCACAAGCTGCCCTTGCTTCACGCGGTGAGCTCTACCTATCCCCAAACAGCAACACAGGCCCCCAGGAGCTGGGAACCGAGAGCTCGTTAGTGCGAACCTGGGGGGTGCGAAGGGGAGGGGGTCGGGGGGGGTTGGGGGGGGGGCTGAGGGGGGGGGGGGCGCTCCCACCTGTGTTGTAGGCCGTGGGCATGGCGGACGGATACCCCGAGAGCGCCTGTGGAGGTATGCTGGGCGTTGCTACGGAAACCACCGGAGTGGCCAGGGACTGGGTCACCTGTGAGCTGTTCAGTCGCTGGTTCTGCAGGGTGAGGAGGCAAGGAGGCGGGAGGGGGGGGGGGGGGCGCGGAGTTACGCCAGTGGTGTCGGCAACGCGATGGCTCGCAAAATAAACAACAGCATGCGGAGAACCATTTTTATTTTCATTCGAAGTACAAATTGATGGCGTATTTCGTCAGATTCTGTGGTGTCCCGCTGCGAACGGATGGGCTCAATATTTATCGCTTTTGCGACTCGCAGATGGCAGTGAGGTGGAAGATGTTCAGCTGTTATTTCTCTCCAATAAGTCGTTTTTGTCCGCTCTCTGGGTCAGATCGCGCACACTCTTAAAAACAAGGGTGCATGTTGGAAAGGGGAATTGTTTTGCAGACCTTAGGTGCGTTGGTCACGCTTGCGCTACCTTTTAACTTGCGAGCTTTAAGCGGAAGGACGGACCAAACTGCCCCTAAAAATCAACAGCAGTATAACGAAGATGATGTTCAGCGCTATGTTTTCTGTTTGTAATAACAAACATGCGCCGCGGAATATTTGGTGGAAAATGCCGGTGAAAAACAGCAAAAATCAGATGGGTGCAGCATGCACCCTCCGCTTTTGAAACCAAAAAATCAGCACGAAAATTACGTTGCGTGTTTGATGTGCAAGATGTGGCCAAAATTCCGAGTCAAAGACCGGTGACTTGAAAATCAAAATGAGGATATTTATTTATACTGGAAGAATCTGATGAGCTACAAAGCTCTTTTTCACAGACGTCCAGTCATACAAAAGCGGCAATTTACCAGGTGCTTATTTTGAATCGGAGGCACGAAAAGAACGCATGTTCGAAGGATGCTTTAATATTTCAACAAAACGCCTGCTGAAATATTAAAATGTCTGGTGACATGACAATTCAAATAAAATGTGTGAACAGTATTTTCACATTGAGAAATGGTTAGGGTTTTTGCAATTTTCAAATTGGATTTTTTTCTTCCACCAATTACATAGAAGCTACACTATTAGCAGCCAAGCATGAAGCATTTCATATCCTGCTGCCCGCCTCCAAAAGCAGAATTACTTTGTTGTGTTGAGGAACAACTCAAATCAGCCTCTGCCCCCCACATCCTTCAACATGAATATTTTACACATGAACCTCTAGCCTTGTGAGCGAAAATCAAACTTTATACATCTTGTTTGTTCAGTCATTGGTGACTGCACGGACCAACTGTCAAATTCAATCCACTTCAGAACCCTGTTTTAAAATTACCATCAGTTGCTTCGACCAGAGCTCGCAATCTCAGCAGTGTCAGCTCGCCGTCTCAGACACAACCGTTACCAATGAACCGTTCCGCATTTCGACCACTTCAACGCGGCCCTTTTTGCGCAATGCGGTCCCCCCAATCAGAACATTGAATTCGCGCGTTTCTTTTTTTACAAAATAATTACGGAACGTTACGGGGACCGCGTGGATCTGCGCGACGCGGAACGGCGCGGGAAGTGAACCGCGAGAGACCTTCGCTCGCGATCGGGCGGCGGTGGTGGCGCTGTAACAGCGATAACAACGGACGCCACCTGACGACATCACCGATCGATGATCTGCCCAGATATGGTAGAAAATAGGTACGGCCTTGCCCGTATAGGGACGTCGTGTCTCTGCCCCATGTGTGGTCTTGTGGATCGTGAATCCTGATTATCATCACGTGCAGTCCACCATACAGCCACGTTCAAGTGTTGATTCATTTGGAGGGTTGATCGCTGCGTCAACTCGCTCGGCGAGCGATCGATCCCACGGACCGATTGATCCTATTGGTCAGTATAGCGTCGTCTGAAACGCCCTGCTTGTTTGGGATTGGCTGATATCTGCAGGATCGGTGATTCGCTCGCTCATCTGTTTCTATCGCGTCACAGCGCCGCCGCCGTCTCCAACTGAGAACTGCGGTGGCAGCGGCTCCTCCCGCACCTCCGAGTAGCTGGATTGGCGACTTACGGTGCGAAAGAAGTTCAACACACATACACATACGTACACATACATACATCACAAAACCCATCGCGGGTCATAAGCGGCGTGGAGGACGGAGCCAGAAGAAGAACACGTGCCGATCTACGCAGCGCCCAATCTCCCTAAACGTGCCCGATCTCTTCGGGATCTCGGAAAGCTGAACAGGTTTTTTTGAGCCTGATTTTTCGTTGCATCAGGCATACGTGAATTTTGCAGAGGGTTTTTCCTGCCAAGTGACCGATAGATGGCACGTCGAGCGATGGATTCTTGTATTTATCCGTGGAGAATTTTGTAGGCGTGCTGGGTTTCAGATGGGTTTCTCTGGTATCTTGGGCACACGGAAGGCAAATGCTCATTCAAGGCATATGCCTGACATCCAAATGTAGCAGGAGCCTCATGAGAAAAAGAAAGAGTCTCAGAGACTCGGTAAGGCTTTTATGGTTGAAGCAAAGCCATTGCTAATTAGAGAGACTTCGCTTGCAGCGTCAGGAGATAAGCACAGCATTCGAGAGGAATTTGCCAAACCCGTGTGCGCTACTATCTGCAAGAGCCGAGAATCCAACTCAACAGACTAAAAAAGTTGCAAATACTATGGGCCTTGTCAATCCACTGCTGGCTGAGGGCCTCCCATGCAACGTGCAGGTCATGGTGTTTTTTTTACCATACTTCACCACGTTTGTCAAGTACGGATTGGTGAAGGCTGGCAGCAAAGACACGAGAGCATACACGTACATTACAGGAATAATTTGTTTTTGCCGAACTGGCCTCTACTGCCTACGACGTAGGCCCCACAGCAAGCCTATAGCAGCCTGCTGTGAATGGTGGTCACCAGTCTATGCACTATCCAAGCTCGAGTCTGCTTAGGTTGTGAGCTCCGATGAGACGAGACAGGGGGGGGGGGGTGATTTCGTCTCTGTATATACTCCTACGGCTATTCCACAGGTTGCCCATTCGTTCTCGAGCCCATAATTCACATTCTAGGAGCCTGCAGCTCCAGCTTGTGCATTACAATCGTCGGATTTCAAGGTGCACACGTGGGTAACGCATTAACCGCGGCTTTCTCGGGCCACTGTTTGGCTGCTATAAATTTCCACGCGAAAAGCCACTCCTCGTTGCGCTATCGCTTGTGGTCAGGTCAGCTTCTGAAAAAGAGCTACAGAGCTCGGTTGGGCCTTACCTGGTAAAATAAAAATGGTTTGTAAAAAAACCTAGCAATAGACGGCTGCACGGGCGGCAGCAGCGGAAAGTCAAAAGGGCCCGGCCTAAGCGTCCGGGCAACGGAAGAGAGGCACGCTGTGTGATCGTTACGTAACGGGCACAGCGAGGCAAAGAAGCATATCCTGCTCACTACGGGGGCATCGTAACGGGTCATTACCGACAGCAGACACTAAACTAAACTCTTTTTATTTTTATTTTACCAGGTACGGCCCACTGAGCTATATAGATCTTTTTTTTTAGAAGCGACCTGGCTATAAATGATAGCTCAACAAAATCAGCTTATCATCACGTGCAAAATTACAGCACGTTGATTCTAAATGTGGACGGTAACACCGGAGGAGCCGGAGAAAAATCCACGTGACCACGGGGAGAGAAACACGCAAACTCCGAATATATAGACGTCAGGGTCGGGTTCGAACCCACGACCTCCTGTATACTGGGCGAGGTAGTTAACATCTCCTAGTCACCGAGTTATCACCCGCCGAGTATTGCGGCGAGCAACAGGCGAGGCGGCGAGAGGGGGAAGTGAACCCGCAGCGTTGTAAAAGACGCCGGGGCTCTCCCCGCGATCTACCGCGTAGTCACTCCGGCTTGTTGCTCGCACGCGCAACTCAATCCGCGCGCTTCTGGTTCCGTCCACCTCGGCGCTTTCAACGGAAAAAAAAAAATCGCCATTCATTCGTAACATGCCGTGATTTCGTGTGCTCTGTGCGTCGTGTGAATGTATTGGAACACCGCACACCGGCGCCAACGAGGTCGCTTGACAGTCACAAGGCATGCACGGCGGCTCGCAACACGAAGGGATGGACCTCTGGGCCGCGACGCAAAGGAGATGCTTTTAGCTTTCCCCCCTTGCAACGAACGCTATTTATAAAATAACAATAATATCACCGCCACTATATATAGGGTAAAAAAAACACACACACACACACACGCACACAAAGGGGCATGCAAAACAGCATGCGCTAATATTATCCACAGCACACTTTAGGAAAACATAGTTTATCCCCCTTGAATGCATAGAATTATCAAATCAAAGGCCTGACAAGAGTGTTCAGTGAAACGGTTTGTCCAAATCCCACAAATAGCCAAGTGTTATTACTCATAACAAAGGCTGCATTTAAACACATTAACCCTTAGCTCTTCGAACACAAAATGCATGCCACCATGGGAAAAAACCCCCGGTGGAATAAGTCATTAACTCATAATGGGTAAAGCCCTCTCTCGTGGGGCCTGGTGGAGGGGGAGGCAAGGGGGGGGATGGCGAGACGGGAGGGTGGTATGTTTGTCCAAAACCCCATGCAGCAATCGGTGCGATATTTGTGTGTGTGTGGGATCCGCAAAGGCACACGCAGGCAAGTGTGTGCGTGTGTTATGCGTTTACAGAAATCCGTTGACTAACCTGCATACTCACCAGTTCCATGAGATCCTCGTCCGTCTGCATGCACGACAAACACAAATCGGGGGCCATCAGGCGGTGAGCGAAATGACTAACGGCGTGGACGGTTCCCCCGTGGGTGTTGCCGATGGACAGGGGGACAAAAAAGTGGTCGCATCGCGATCGCAACGTCCAGACTCGGGGTTTTCCTTTGAGCGTCGTGGTCGGTGCCCATCCTCCGCCGGGTGATTCGGAAGTAGGCGGTGGAAATTCCGCGTTCCCTTTGGCGACGTCTGAACGATGGCGACGATGATATAGGACGAGTTACGCGACCCACCGCACGGGCTTGTTGCTCAAGGGTCAACTCGAAGCCCACGAGAAAAATTTTAATGTGTCGTTGCCGCTAGCACCGCACAGAGGAAAACGACACGGAAACGGTGAATGGGGTGCAATTAATTTGCTTTGCGGGTTTTTTTTTTTTTTTACAGGGGACCGATCTGCCAGGCTATCACCCGAAAACCAAATCCGTTACTGGTCTGCCAGTCCATAAATATCTAGAGACTCAATCACAGACTAGTGTACCAGTGTACTGTCTAAAGATCCCACCAAAAGACGAGTCAGGCATATGTCTGACCTAGCGAACCCACTGGTCTGACAGTCTACCATTTGAAGACCCCATCAGAGACCAGTCCGTCAACCTATTATTTAAAAATCTGATCAAAGACCAGTCTGCCAGTCTATTGTTCTGAGTCTGACAGTCTATTGTCCAAAGATCCTATCACAGACTAGTCTGCGAGTCTGTAATTGTTTTAGAGACTCCCATCGTAGACCAGTCTGTGAGTATATTATTGTCTAAAGACTCCTTCGGAGATTGGTCTGTCAGTCTATTATCAGAAAACTCCGGCTTAAACATACTAACAGCAACACAAAATAAAATCAAGAAAACCGCAGCTGTTTAATAACCGTAATAATACTAACACGTACTAAAAATGTACAGAATATAAATTGTAGAAAAACTTGAGTGGGAGAATGAATTCTAAGGTTCAGATTTCTCAACGAAACAACAATATAAAAGTCAAGTGGTTCCGGAGGCACTAAAGGGTGTGAATAATTAAATCGGTAAATTGAAGCGGTCGATAAGCGGTGCCCACAGCTGCATACCTGAGAGTCAGCCACGAAGCTCGTGTGAAAGCTCACGAGCGTGGGCATTCCAGTGGCTCACTCTCGAGAGATGTGCTGATGCGAGATCAAACGCGCTGCATCCAAGTGCACCTCCAGCGGCTGGTACCAGCAGCGTCATGACCAGCCGCTGTGTGTGACGGAGGTTCGGGAATGGTGTTCATTGAACAATGTTGGTGGTAGTGGTGGTGGCCACTTTTCAGCGACAAGAGGAAGGAGAGAAGCGACGCTTACGACAATGAATGAATGGTGCATCGGGCAGATAAAATACAGCAAGTTGCTCCTGTAGGGAATGCAGAGTGATGCATCTGCCGGTCATCCGGCTTTGGTCACCCACACTGCCTGGGTCTCATTCGTGACCTACTGCCGACAAACCCTTCACCTCTACGTGACCTCAAAGTGGACCTCCTGGCCAGGCACAAATGCCAGGGTGACGTCACTGCCGCTTTGCAGTGATTAGTGGTTCTTGTAGGCTTGCTGTTGTTGCACAGGAAACCTGTGAGTACAAGGTTGCTGTACACTCACTCATTCACTTAATAACTCACTCACTAAGTCCTTCACTAGAAACTCGTATAACGAATCAGCCATTGACTAAATAAATAACCCACTCAATAACTCATCCGACCACTCACCCACCCACTCACCAGCTTGCCCCACTCACACTCACCAGAGTGGGCATCATGCCCTTGCTGTTGGACGGGATGACAACACGCAGGTCTGGCTTATTGCGCTGCTGCTGCTGCTGTTGTTGCTGCTGCTGTTGCTGCTGCTGTTGCTGCTGTTGTTGCTGCTGCTGCTGCTGTCCTCCAGCTTGTCCCTGTGAGGGCGGCGGCGGAGACTTTGCGGCCATGGATCGGCTCATCCCTCCGGATCCGGAGCCCGATCCCGGGGACCCCATGAGCACCGGCGATGCCCGCGAGGCTGCCACCGCAGCTGCGTATCCGTTACCTGCGCGATGGCAAAAAATATAAAATAAAAACGAGTTATTCTTTCGTGCGAATGCCACTGCGGTGTACGGTTAAACACACTGGACATGCAAATCCAGAAGTTGCCGGTTCGATTTTGATCTCTCCCGGAGTAGCAGTCGAGACATGTTTCTTAAAACCCTCCCGCCTCCATCCACAAAGCGGCGCAAATGAGTTCACCAGTTAGTCGATCGGCTGGTCACATGGGTAATCCCACCTCTCACAAGACGTCTGGCCAGCAAGTTCGAAAGAGTCGGTCAAAATATCCCTCTAGAGGGCCTCTCTCAAACTCCTCTCGTGGAGCCCCTTCCGCCAGCAGTGGCGTGGGCCAAGCACTTGGAGCGCTGCACCTTTACCTTGACCTGGCGACCGGGCCAAGGCCATCAGCTCCGCGGCTCCGAGGCGCGACTTAATTCCGTGAGATTTCGCGCGTATGCGAACTGTTTATTGTTGTTATTGTTATTAACTCGCAATGCGTGTGAGAACCGAGTCCAATCACGGTGGCAGGCACCGGAGGGGCCACACGTTCCAGAGGGCGTCAACTGCAGAGAGGGATTAATGAAAGCAGCTCGCGTGTGCAGGTGCTCTACGGATTGCGACAGCGTATGATCGTTGGGGGGGTGGCGACTGCTTTGGGAGGCCTTCGTCCAGCAGTGGATTGATCATGCTTGATGACGATGATGACAGAATTGAAAAGAAAAACATGAGCGTTTGAGAAAAAGCACAGTGCATAAAACAACAAAAAAATACCAATTTGCTATGTATTCCGGCATCTGAAAAATGTAAATGTTTTCACTTGCTTCAATAAACATTTTCTTGATTGAACAACGAGCAATGGGGGAGTGAAAAATTCTGCACTTGATTTTCGATGCGATAATTTTCCCCGTCGGCCACGAATTTAAGCCTTTCAACAAAGAAATCACGTCACCAACGCTATCGGCTCCACGAATCACAGAAGTCGATCGTTTAGTTCGTCTCTGGTGTTTTTTCCGCCCAAGTGCTCCCTAAAAAAAAAAAAGTCAGAACGCACGCGGACATAATTCTACGAAAATAAATTGACGCCAAATAAATCGTGGTCGAAACATTCTCGCATCAGGCGCTCGTAATCACGCGCTCGTCTTTAGCGAAGATAATCAGTAAATATATCAGTCGTGTCACCTCACCGATGACACCAAACCATCAATCCAACAAAGCTTTTCATCGCGACACTCGCTCCTTTGAGAGCCTTTAAGGCATTCCTCAAAAGTGCGGCTTCAAAAATTGCCTCCAGTGGCCGTGCAGCTCTTTCACCGTTTGGAAGAAGACCCGCTCCTCATCTCTGTGGGCCCTATTAAAGGCACTTTGATGTTTGGTTATAAAACATTCCATAAAACAAAACGATTCATAACTCGACAAAAATGGCAGACTGATAATATATATTTTTATCTCAACAATTGGCACTCGAATGCATCTATCTGGCTTTATATTTTTTTCATTGGAATGTTTTTTTTAATTACAATTAGGATGACTGTAGTAAGTGGGAATAAGTCTTTGTAATGGTGCAACTGCACCCAGAGAATATTGCAGCTCTGCCGCCAGCCAGGTGCGATTTTCAAGGGCATTTTAATTTGGCAGCGCGCTTTACAACAGGGCCACATTTCCCCGTCGTTTCCTGTTTACCGCCGCCGCCGCCGCCACCGTCCAGATGTGGGTACCACTCTGGACGGGCGAGCCAGGGCACGGCATGTAAAATGGTCGCAACCCTTCCAATCCTCCCACTATCTCCTTTACCTCCCTCCTCCCCTGCAACTCCCTCCCTTCTCTTCCCTCCCACTCACCCACCCACCATCCTACCATCACTCCCCTCCCCTCCACTCCCATCATCCCTCCCTCGCCACCGCAAGACCGACCTTCCCGCCGTAACGGCGGCCGCAGGCAACACGACTGAAAATGCCCCCGTGCAAAATGGAGACGCACTCGAGGTCATGGGTCGCAAGGCTGCCATCGCCGCTGCCATCGCCTGAACTTAAAAAAAAGCGTCTCCTTAGTCACGCTTGTTAATCAGCTTGGCGCAGGAAAAATAAGCGGCCAGCAGCTTTGGCGGTGGCACTAACAAGCTGCAAATTTGGACACAGTAATTTTTTTTGTTACTATCGGTGAAGTGAAAGGAGGAAGAAAAATAAATTCCCCCCCCACCCCCCCCCAATGCCACAGTGTTCACCTCTCAAAGAGGTTTGACGCCACGTTCTTGTGGCCGAGAAGCTGATTTATTTGCGAACAAAGCGAAGGTTTTCCCAGGGACGTTATTTATTTATCTCATCCAGCGGGCACGCCTATAAACGCACCTCGGGGGTGGGGGGGGGAGGGTTTTTACTTACGCAACAGACCAATGAAGAAATTTGCATAGAATTAAAATAAAACTCAGCAGTTGAAATCGTGGAGCAAATTATACACGGCTGCATTTCACGCGTGTAATAATTTACAGGCCTGTTGTCAATCCACTGCTCAGTCGTGTTGGGGGTTGCGTAACCTTATTTCACCAAGCTGCTCAGGCGCACAGTTGGTGAGTTTTGTTATCCAGGGTCAGGAATCAAACTCGGCACACGCTAGAGTCATAGCGCGGCGTGCTAACTACCTCCTGCACGCAGAGAGATTGCGCTTTACCCAAGGTGTGAAAAAAATGTTCTTGCCAAAATTTTACAAATCACGCCGAACTCGCACTACGAGTTAAATACAATAATTCAGCTATAATTGAGTTGCATTGCGTAGCGTTTCTTTCTGGAAATGTATGCAACTGGTGATTTTTGTTGTTCATAATATAATTCACGGTATTATTATTTTTTTAAGTGTCAAGAAGGCTTGAGAACATGAGCAGGCTGGCTCCTCATTAAAAAATGTGATTCGATTATTTTCTACTTAGGGACAAAAGCCTACCTGCAGAGTGCAATCTCCAGACACGTTGACCCTTACTTGCGTGCCCGTGTGTCCCTCCGTTGTGAAAGCTGATATAGGTTCAATAAAAAAAAAATTGACTCGATTTCTAAGCGACGCATGGTGCAGCAAGCCCTTTACACGAGTCGATTAACTAGAACACCCCCCCCCCCCCCCCCCCCCCCCCCCCGGGCGGAGGACAGCACATGGGCGATGGGAGCAACGAGACGATGTTGGCTGCCTACGTTTCCCTTCTCACTGCGAGAGACACAGCGAGCCTGGGAAAAGTCGACAGCGGAGACTCACCGAGACAGAAATCGCCGAGCAGAGAGAATGGTGGGGGGGGGGGGGTGAGAATGCACAATGGATGGGTGTGGACTGCAGAGGCAGGCCGGGCAACAATGCTGGAGATAGACATGGAGTGACAGAGAGGGATGGAAGGATGATGTAGTGACAGAGAGGGATGGAAGGATGATGGAGTGACAGAGAGGGATGGAAGGATGATGGAGTGACAGAGAGGGATGGAAGGATGATGGAGTGACAGAGAGGGATGGAAGGATGATGGAGTGACAGAGAGGGATGGAAGGATGATGGAGTGACAGAGAGGGATGGAAGGATGATGGAGTGACAGAGAGGGATGGAAGGATGATGGAGTGACAGAGAGGGATGGAAGGATGATGGAGTGACAGAGAGGGATGGAAGGATGATGGAGTGACAGAGAGGGATGGAAGGATGATGGAGTGACAGAGAGGGATGGAAGGATGATGGAGTGACAGAGAGGGATGGAAGGATGATGGAGTGACAGAGAGAGATGGAAGGATGATGGAGTGACAGAGAGGGATGGAAGGATGATGGAGTGACAGAGAGGGATGGAAGGATGATGGAGTGACAGAGAGGGATGGAAGGATGATGGAGTGACAGAGAGGGATGGAAGGATGATGGAGTGACAGAGAGGGATGGAAGGATGATGGAGTGACAGAGAGGGATGGAAGGATGATGGAGTGACAGAGAGGGATGGAAGGATGATGGAGTGACAGAAAGGGATGGAAGGATGATGGAGTGACAGAGAGGGATGGAAGGATGATGGAGTGACAGAGAGGGATGGAAGGATGATGGAGTGACAGAGAGGGATGGAAGGATGATGGAGTGACAGAGAGGGATGGAAGGATGATGGAGTGACAGAGAGGGATGGAAGGATGATGGAGTGACAGAGAGGGATGAAAGGATGATGGAGTGACAGAGAGGGATGAAAGGATGATGGAGTGACAGAGAGGGATGGAAGGGTGATGGAGTAGAGGGATGACAGTGTGATGAAACAGAAGATGACAGAGGCAGAAAGGAAAAAAAAAAGGTAGGCAGCCAGCAGCGGCGAGGGGTGAGAGTGTGATGAAGGGAGAGAAGGACGCAAGAAGGGGGTGGGGGGACAGAATGGCGACACGAGGGAGGGGCAGTTAGGAACGAACCCAAAAGCTACGACGACGATGAGAGAGGAGAGATGGAGGGATGGAGGGAGGGAGGGGATCGGTGACGCAGAGAGAGAGATGCAAAGATGCTGGGTGCAGCAGTCAGGTCTGGGCCTGCTTGTCACTAGCACTGCCATCACACAGCCCAGTGCCCTGGGCTTGGCGTGACAATACCGGGAGAAGGCTCGCCTGCTCGCTCGCTCGCTCGGTGGGAGGGTGCGGGGAGCTGAAAAATGAAAATGAAAAAGGGGTGGCAATGTGTTTTTTTTAACGCGCACACAGACGCACGTGAGCGCGTCTGCGCGGTAAAAAAAAAAAGTGTAACCGTGATTTTTTGTTACCACCCCCAAAGCGTTTGCACCCACTCGCAATCTCGTAATCACGAAAAGGAAGGAAGAAGCGGAGGGGGGGGGGGATCTGGCAAACACAATGGCCCTGCACGTACCATTTCTGGCTGGGGGAGTTCATCTTACAGGTGCCTGTGGCTCGCGCGGCAACACAATAGCGCTGGTTTTGAGAAATTCAAGCATCGATGTCAAAACATGCCGCGGGATTTTTTTGCTGTGTTTTTTCTCGTCCTCCTCTTTATCTCTTCTTCTTCTTCTTCTCT